GTGGTCAATGACATGCGACAAAGTATATGTGAACTGCTGTATGGAAAGCGAATTTGCTCTGTAAATCTTCACCCAAATCACAATAAATAATAAATAAAATAAAATATATATATAAAAAAAAATCATCCCTTGAAAACCCTATGGAGCACAGTTCTTCTCTGACACACGTGGGGTTGCCATGAGTCAGAACTGGCTCTGTGGCAATTGGCTTAGAGATGAGGTAGGAGATGAGACCTCAGGAAAACGAGGAGGACCGAGGGACAGAAGGAAACCAGGTGCATGGAGGTGGCCACCAAGGAAATAAAGAAGGAAGCTCCAAAGGATAGAGACATAGGAAAGAACCAAGAGGGGTTAAGTGAAGTTGGGGATAAGGAAGGACCACTGCCCTGAGCAGCTGCAGAAGGTCTTCCCGGATGGGCACATGGGAACCAGAAGGACAGACCCCTATTGCACCAAGGCCTAGTTTCAGTTCCCTTCCCTCCATTCTGGTTTGGAAATGCTCTGGCTCTTTCTTCTTGGCAATCGCAGGCCCCAAACAGTCCTGTTCACCATCCAATAAAACTTTACCCCAGAGCTTTCATCTGAGGAGATAAAAGTTGCCTTCATAGATACAGAGTCACCAAGTTTCTAGAAGAGTAGAGCAGCCAATTTTGAGGGTAAAAGAGGCCCTTTGCTTCAAGACAGAGAACAATTGGGGTGGGTTCTCTAGACTTATCTCTTGTACAGCCCTTCACGCCCTGGTTTCTCAGGCTAAGGTCAGCCCCAGAGGGGGTTAACAGATCAAGCCTCAACCCTGCTTTGGTTTCCTCAGCAAGCAGTTGTCATTTGCCTGGGGCCATAGGGCGTCCCAAAGTCAGGAAATGTTATTATATTAGCAGGCTCACCAGCCCTGGGCAATTATCAAATTTCCCCTCCTGGAGTGACTCAGGGATAGATGGAGACCCTGATGGCTTTTTTGACTTGTCACAGGTCTTTCAGGGACAGTGGTGCCATGCTGGGCTACCCTTGGGCCCTGCCACTCTGCTCTCAGGAACTATCGAGGCACCAGGCTAGGAAGAATAGAGTAATAGAGTGTTGGCTTTCCTTCCACTTCAAAGTTCAAGGGGAACAGGTTTGGGATAAGTGGAACCTGGACACATCACCCAATTGCCAACTGTGCCTCCTGTCAGGGCAGCTGTGCTAGGAAGCTGTGCATGAAAAGGACTTGGTTAAGTAGGACTGTGCCTTTTGGAGGATGGATAACAATCTTAGGGGAGAGCTGACCCTGGCCACGGAGGTAGGAGTAGCCCTGCTCACAGCCCTGGGTGGGCCTACATGCTAACAGACAGGCCTAAGTACAAAAGTAAGCACTCTGAGGCCCAGGAACATGTGCACGCACACACTCTCACACACAAGGTACATGTGCACATACATGCCCACATACATACATACTCACCCAGATACACAGGCTCATATATACATGCATAAGCACAGATATTCATAGACACACTCATACAAGGACATACCCACACATAGGTGCAAACACACAGGAAAACACACAGGCAGAGCTCATGTGTGCAGGAGCACACGCAGGCACAGACACACACAACTCACATACCCGGGCATCCAGTAAAAGATACACACACAGGCACAGCACCCATCTGCGCATGCACCAGCTCCTGCACACACCCACCCAGGTGTAAGCACAAACACACACATTCCGGTAACACAAACAGTTGCTGAGGCCAATAGACAAAATACTTTCCAGCTGCCCTTCGTCTTCACCCGGGCCTGTAGCCAGGGCCCTCCCCCCACCCCGCCCACAACTGGTTATATAAATTCCCTCCCTTCGCCCCTTTCCTCACACAGCAGGACTGGACCACAGCCTCCACCTCTGTCCACTCCCAGCAGGCAGACCCTCCAGGACTGAAACATAGGAGCAGCATGGGTAAGGAAAGAGCTTCCACCAGCCACCCACTGACCTGCTCACTGACCCCTGACCTGCCCCTGGTTTGGTCATTTCCCTTCAGGAAATGACTCCAAAACTTCAGGTGAGGGTAGAGGAATGGAACCCTGCCCCCCACCCCTCCACTTCTCAATTGGGCCAGAGTTTCTGGCAGGGCTTTGAACGGGTTCATTTCAGTTCCACCCCCTACTGAGAATTTGTCTTTCCACCCCAGCTGTACTGAGTCAGAACCTACATTTTAACAAGATCCCTGGGTTCTTATGTATATAAAAGATCTGTAAGAACTCCTGATTTCAACTCTGGGCTAACTTCTTATTCCAAGTCTCCCAAGTCACTCTGGGAGAGAAGTCAGGGATCCCCACCCCATCACTGGAGGCCTGTTTCAATCTCCCCCCCACACACACACCCCATCTCCCATCGGTGGGCTCCTGGATGTCAGACTAAGGAGGAGTTTGGGTGTTTGGCTGAGAATGGTAAGGTCCTTGCCCTGTTGGAGCTGGCCCTTCCCTGGATGGGAAGAATGCTCAGCAGCCAGCCTGGCATTGAGAAAGCCCAACTGAGCTTACCATGGGTTCACCTCAAACCAGTAGGTACTCAGAGACCTTGTCTGTGGTGCTTTAGACACAGAGGGAGGGGGATGCAAGGACAAAACAGGAAGAGCAGGGATGGACCGATGACGAGAATGAGCAAAGCCTCTTTCCCACTCCACTTCCCATCAGTCTATCTTTGGCTTTGCTCTTTTGTTTTGTATGTCTATCTAGATGTCTTGGAGTTTTTAAATCTCCTTCCCCTTCTGTGTCCAAAAACTCCCTTCCCCTCCCCATCACTCCCTGTGCCAAGCCTGGCACAGCTTGGGTGAGCAGCAGAATGAGTCTCCTTAATGGCGTTTGTACCAGACCTCTCTCTCACCCTGCCTCACCCCACCTCCCAGACCTCTCTCTGGGCACCAAGCCTGACTAGCACCCTTCCCTCCTCTTCTGGCACAGCCCTACCCATATTTACACAACACTTTTTCCTTTATGAATGCACTTTTGAAAACACATTCTTATTTGATTTTCACATACACCTGGAAAAGTAGGTTGTTGCTATTAGTTGGTAGAGACAGGATAGTATCATTAGTCCCTTTTAGCAAATGAGGGAGAGAAAATGGAGGGTAGGTGTTAAACCAGGAACTTGAACCCAGGTCTGCAGGGCTCGGAAACATGGCTGCTGCCTCTTAGCTTTCTAAGTCATTTGGGTGCAGACAGCAAGGGGCACTGACTCCTGGTCAAGGGCCCAAGCCCAGGCACCACCAGAGGCTCCAATTGTGGCAGCCATTCCTTGCTGCCCACTTGCAGGCCCGCAGCTGTCATGAGAGTGGCCAAACTGACCACAGGCAGGGCTGGGAGGCGGTGCTCAGTCCTGTGAAATCCACTCCAGGATTTCTTTCAGACTGCAGCTTCCTCTGTGTTACTCTTTAGCCCTTTCTCCAGCCAAGCCTCCAGCCAGCCGCTGCTCAGAAGGAAGATGGGGCAATCTACTTCTGTAGTGATACTGCCTGGGAAACCCAAGGAGTGGTCGTTATGAGTCAGATCCAGCTCAACGGCAGTGAATTTTTTTTTCTCCAGTCAGGCCCCAAACCTTGATAACGGGTTTTAGCAGCTGTGAGAAGAGAACTCTCCTTCTCTGAGGCAGACTTTGGTCTCCCTGACTTTGGTCCACTCAGATCAGTGCAGCTTCTCTTGCCAGACTCCAGGGGACAGGGAGGCTCTGGTAGGGGCCTCTGAGTTCTCCAGTTGTTGTTGTTGTTGTTATGTGCCGTCAAGTCGGCCCCGACTCATAGCGACCCCTCCTTGGGTTTCCGAGGCAGTATCACTACGGAAGTAGGATTGCCCAACCTTCCTTCCGAGGAGTGTCTGGTGGGTTTGAACCGCCAGCCTTCTGGTTAGCAGTCAAGTGCTTTAGCCACTATGCTACCAGAGTTCTCCAGAGCAGGGCCCAATACCTTACTTTCCAAATAAAAGAAACAGAGGCTCAGATAGAGACAGAAACTAGCCTAAGGAAATCCAGCTGTTGCAAGACTCTGTGGCCTTGAAACCCAGATTCCGTCACTCCATCTGGATGACAAAAACCAAACCCACTGCCATCAAGTAGATTCTCATACATAACGACCCCCTTTGGGTTTCCAAAGCTGTAAATCTTCATAGAATTGCCCCGTCTACCTTCTGCGGAGTAGCTGGTGGGTTTGAACCACCAACCTTCTGGTTAGCAAATGCCTTAGGCACTATACCACCAGAGCTCCTTGTCTGGATGACTAGACCCTCAGTGTTTTTTTTTTTTTTGTTGTTGTTGTTCCTTCTCACAATTATGGGGTTTATTAGGGAACCAACAGGTTACAATTCAGATTCAGGAATGCTCAGGATACAATTCTTCAGTGAGGACGGCCTCCCCTTGACCATGCCCTATCAGACACTACACAAAGCTGCATAACTGACAGGCACTCTTTTGTTTACTTCTCATAAATCCCCATTGTGATATTCTTATTACTTCCTTTTTACAGATGATGTAGAAAATTGGGACAGAGAGATTAAATAACTTTCCCAAGCCAGTCAGTGGTGGGCTGGAGTTGAGACCCAAATGGTATCATAAACTTAGCCATATCACCCTTCTCCTGCCCTCCTCTTGAGTTCTGGCACAGATAGGACTTGACTGTTGTTTCCCTCAGGTCATATCTCCCTAGCTTTTCCCACCACACCCACACTCTCTTCAGCAGCACTGTGAGGGTGCGGGAAGGACAGGCCCAGAGCAGAACTGGCCTGAGATAGCAGCATGTGTTGAGGGATGTGAGAAGGAAGCCTATACCCTCCAGCATGTTCCCCAGTCAATACACCCCATTGTTTCCATAGCCACGAAATGTGGGCAGTGTGGACCTGGCTACCCTTCCCCTCTGGAGGCCATGAAAGGTAAGTGCCCAACATCTGAGAGCCAGCACCTCTGAGAAAGAATTCTGTGAGCAGACACTCCTCTGCTGACCCCATGGCTATTGGGTGGGGGGCCTAGGACCCAGGCCTTCACCCTTGGACATACCCAGAGCTGCCCCCACGGTTCCTCTCCACCCTGCCATTCCCGCTGCCTGCCTTCGACTCTCCAGGACCCCGGGAGAAGATTGTCTACCTGCCCTGTATTTACCGAAACACTGGCATTGAAGCCCCGGACTATCTGGCCACCGTGGACGTTGACCCCAAGTCTCCCCAGTATTGCCAGGTGAGGCAGGGCAACCCTCCCCCAGGTCTGGCTGGCACTGCCCTTCCTCAGCTTCATCTTTCTCCACCCTCCCTGGTATGGTTGTACAGTCTATACTGCACAAGGGCACCCCCACAGGACAAAAGATGTGCTGAAACCCAGCCTGTGCTGTCAAACTCCTGAGGGTCCAGAAGGGCATGCCTTGTCCAAAGGTGCAGGGAGGCATGGTCTAGGCAAGCACAACCCCCTGTCCCCTCATCCCAGGTCGTCCACCGGCTGCCCATGCCCAACCTGAAGGACGAGCTGCATCACTCGGGATGGAACACCTGCAGCAGTTGCTTTGGCGACAGCACCAAGTCACGCACCAAGCTGGTGCTGCCCAGCCTCATCTCCTCTCGCGTCTACGTGGTGGATGTGGGCTCCGAGCCCCGGGCCCCAAAGCTGCACAAGGCATGTTCTCTGTCCTTACCTGCCCAGAAACTAATATATCTACCACCCACATCAGCCTGTTCCAAGGCAGGAAGCTATCCTGAAGCCAGCTGCTACCAATTCTTATGCAGGTTCTGGGCTCAGCAGCAGGAAGGGAGGTTAGACTTCAGAGCAGGGTTACCTAGGAGTACAGAATTGTCAACATTCATCACCGTGGGTCACATGAACGCGAGAGGATCCTTCTTGTTTTTACCCTAAGAGGGGGAATCTGTTGGGTCGAGTCAATTCTGACTCATAACAACCTTATAGGACAGAGTAGAACTTTCCCATGGGGTTTCCAAGGCTGTAGTCTTTATGGCAGCAGACTGCCACATCTTTCTTCCCTTAGCAGATTGTGGATTTGAACCACAGACCTTTCAGTTAGCAACCAAATGATTAACCACAGTACCACCAGGGCTCCTGGAGGAAGAGGGACCGCTTTTTTTCACACCCAGCTATGAGCTTATGTCTTCCCTTAGACCAGAGCCTCCAAACCTTCTTCCTCTCAGCACTTAACTGTTTACTTACTGCCTGCCAGGTACCCACTGTGCTGGCCACTAGTGATACAAAGTTGACACTGGCAGTTGGCATTGGTCCCAGCCCAGGAGGACCTCATGGTCCCTCAGGGCTGAAAGTACCTTGAGGACAGAGGGGAGAGGTCAATGGTTTCTGTCTGGGAATTATTAACAGTCTTTCTGAGTCTTTGTTTCTCTATAGAAGGTTCCAGACTTACTTTCTGCCATATTCCTACAGGTAGATTTGTGTCCATATTTTGAAGAAAAAAAGAATGGGGTCAGCAGAAAGAAGTCGGGGAGTGTAGGAGTAGATAGTGGGGATTTCCAGCCCTGTGAGATCCTGACACCATTCCTTGCCTCTCTCCAGGTCATCGAACCCAAGGACATCCATGCCAAGTGTGGCCTGGGCTATCTCCATACTAGTCACTGTCTGGCCAATGGAGAGGTGATGATCAGCTCCCTGGGAGACCCCAAGGGCAATGCCAAAGGTACCCGTGGGCACTGTGGTCACATTTGTGCTTATGAAAACATGTCTGTGGGAGAAACAGCTGCAGAGTGGTGAGAGGAATGGAATGACCTCCCAGGGACAGCCAAGGGTCTGGGTCCCAAACAATATTTAAAATGTAGTCAAGTAACTTGAGTTGTTTCAAGTATTTCTGTGAGGTGAACCTTGACTGATGAATTCAGTTAAAAGTTACAATCTGCCATGGGCAGATCTGGATGGCTCCAGAAAACACACACATTTAATATCAGCCTTTGCAAATTCATAAGCACATCTCACACTCCTTGGGGCTCTTAATCTTCACTTTTGCTATCTCACTTATGGTATGATCAGAGCTGACATTTATAAAATGTCTTCTACGTGCTGACACAACCTGTGATGTAGGTGCTGATTTATAGACAAGAAATTTGGAGCCAGTTTGGTTAATTAATTTATCCAAGGTCACAGAGCTAATAAATCACAGAACTGGGACTCAAACCCAAGAATCTGGCTCCAAGCCCTGTGTGCTAGTCACCATACCTCTTTCAGAGCTTATCTATTTCATCAGAACCCTCCATCCAAGAGTTTAGAGTGGAACAAAGTCATTCAGTTTAGATTCCTGCCTACTCCCAGTTGATGGCTTTGTCCAAACCATGGGAAGAGCTTAACATTTCTAGGCTTTATAAGACTTAAGAATCAACCTTTGGTTGTATTTACAAAGAGGTGTCAAGGTGTCAGAACATATCTAGGGAGGGACAATATATTGGGCATTAATGCTGAATTATAAATACGTACAATATATCTGCTCTATTTTTAAAAAAAGAAATGTGGTGAGCAGAATGGAGCTTAGACTGAGAGGAATCCCACACTGAAAGTGGGAGACTAGACGAGAGAACTTCAGGGTGTTGGGTCCCAGAAAAGCTTTTGGTATAAGGAAAGAAAAAATTTCCCTGTGGTCTGGGAGAAGGATGAAGTTTATGGAAGGTAGGAATATCAAAGTAAAAGCTCCCACCTCCCACCAGGCCACCTTTGGGTGGGACATCTGAATGTAAGGTATCATCTTGGACATGCCTAGAGGTGAGGGTGGTGGGAGTAGTGTTTCTCTTCTTCCCCTTGCCATCTTACTTCCTTCCCTGTTCAGGGGGTTTTGTGCTACTGGATGGAGAGACATTTGAGGTGAAGGGGACATGGGAACAGCCTGGGGGTGCTGCACCAATGGGCTATGACTTCTGGTACCAGCCTCGACACAACGTCATGATCAGCACGGAATGGGCGGCTCCCAATGTCTTACGAGATGGCTTCAACCCCGCAGATGTGGAGGCCGGTGAGAATCCCCTCATGGGCCAGCAGGTGTCTTGGGCCCACACCCTCTACTGGTGGCTGCTTTCAAACTCTACCTCTAACCCTCTGACTTCTCTTATATGAACCCCTAACTCTTGGGGTGAGGATATAGGATATGCTGAATGTTCTGGCTGGCTCAAACATCTTTCTGATCCCTCCAACCCATGTTCAACCTTCTGCTCTGGTCCATGCCCCTGCCTTTGTCTGTGCCATTTCCCTGAACCTGAGCTTCTCTTCTGCCCACACCTCCACCCCAGGGCTGTACGGGAGCCACTTGCATGTGTGGGACTGGCAGCGCCATGAGATGGTACAGACTCTACCCCTGCAAGATGGGCTCATCCCCCTGGAGATCCGCTTCCTGCACAACCCAGATGCTTCCCAGGGGTTTGTGGGCTGTGCCCTCAGCTCCAACATCCAGCGCTTCTACAAGAATGAGGTGACATACACATTCTGGTCTTCCCCTTCCAGCAGCCCTCTTTGCACCTCTGCCCAGGCTTCTAAGGGGAGCTGTCTCCCCTCTCCCTAGGAGGGACCTAGGCCCCATCTCCTGGCTTCACCAGCCCAAGCTTCTGTAGGAACAAAAAGTGAGGCCACAGGTCCTGCTCCTCTTCTCCCAATTCCAGGCCAACTTCCACCTGAACCTTAACTGTATCTTCATTCAGAAAATATTTAGTGATCTTCTACTGTGCATTGGGCATTGTGCTAAGTGCTAGGAATATAGTAGTGAAGCAGACACAACCTCAGTCTTAAGGGGCTTGCCCAGGAGTTACACCCTAGTGGCAAGAAGACCCTGTATCTGCTATCTACTTTCCCAGGTTTTGGGAGATACAGATATGATCCCCCATTCCCCAGCTTCGCAAGTTCACCTCTGTGCCTCCTAATCCCAGCTTTATCTTTCCAATGCAGGGAGGTACTTGGTCTGTAGAAAAGGTAATCCAGGTGGCCCCCAAGAAAGTGAAGGGCTGGATACTGCCTGAAATGCCAGGTGAGTGCCCAGGGGAGGGTGGAAATTAAAAGGTTAATTCCTGGCTTGAGGAACAAGAGTCTTTAAACCCTCTGAACACCCCTACCCCCAGGCCTGATCACCGACATCCTGGTGTCCCTGGATGACCGCTTCCTGTACTTCAGCAACTGGCTGCATGGGGACCTGCGGCAGTATGACATCTCGAACCCAAAGAAGCCCCGTCTCACAGGACAGGTGGGGTCCTAGCAGGATGAGGAGAAAGGGGGGAGAAAGGAGGTCAAGAGAGTGGGGAGAGAGTAGAGAGGACAAAGTGGCTGGGGGATAATAAGGGAGGTGCAGGAAAAGCAAAAGTGGGGCCAAGGGATGAGGTAGGCCCAGGAAGTGTGGCTATGGCTACCCATGGAGAACGTGTCTGAAAGAAGTAAGGGCAACTTTTCCTGCAATGTCAACACCTCCTACCACTGTCCTCCTGTATCTTCTACCCAGGTGTTCCTGGGGGGCAGCGTTGTTAAGGGAGGTCCCGTGCAAGTGCTGGAGGACCAGGAACTGGAATGCCAGCCAGAGCCCCTGGTGGTCAAGGTGAGGCCCCCTCCTCCTACCCATAGCCCACCTTGGATCTTTGCTTGAGGAGCACATGACGGAGGGAGTTGGGCAGCAGTTGAAGGTAATCCCTCCTCGGGATCTCTGTGTTACCCTGGTGTCTGCTCCTGGTTTTCCCAAGGGGAAGCGTGTGCCTGGAGGCCCCCAGATGATCCAGCTTAGCCTAGATGGGAAGCGTCTCTATGTCACCACATCACTGTACAGTGCCTGGGACAAGCAGTTTTACCCAGATCTCATCAGGTGAGAAGCAAACAACCTGGACTGCCCTCCTCAACCTTCCTCTCCCAGAGGATTCATTGAGCTTTCTTAAGGCTCCCCAGAAGCCCCACCAGTCCCCCACCACCAAGAGAGCCCCTTCAGACTCTGCTCCCTCATCAGGAACCCACCCTTACACTCAGAATCTTAGAGGAAGAGGGCAGCCACTCTGACTTCTCTCTTACTCCCTCCTCCTTTTCCACCAGAGAAGGCTCCGTGATGCTGCAAATTGATGTAAACACAGTAGAGGGAGGGCTGAAATTGAACCCCAACTTCCTGGTGGACTTTGGGAAGGAGCCTCTTGGCCCAGTCCTGGCCCATGAACTCCGCTATCCTGGGGGAGACTGCAGCTCTGACATCTGGATCTGAAATCCACCCTTCACTGCCTGTCATATGTTCTGAGCCCTCCCAGGTCTCTGCAAGGGACCTGTCATCACTCTGCTTTCTCTTGGCCCCAACCCTTAATAACTTGTCCTACCAAAGCCAAACTGAGGCTGTTTTAGCCTATTGAGAGATGTCTCTTTTTACAGACCCTTGTTGTGTGTTGCTCATTATGCAGTGTTACTCACATGAGCCCTTGGAAGCACCAAGAAATAAACAGTGAACCTGGTCCTCTGATCCTTTGACTTTGGGGGCATGGAGTCTATTATTCTGCTTCTGCTGACCCCTTGTGTCTTGCATGGGAAAGGGGTAGAGAGGAAGGTTGTGGTGACTAGTTCCCACCAGTGATTACAACATGATGCTAATGATACCAAAATCTCACGTTTATGGCAAAATATAACCTGAAAGGTTTTTGCCTTCCAAAAAGCTGAGTTGCTTGAAACATTATGCTGAGTGGAATAAGTCAGTCACTAAGGGACAAATATTATATGATTCCACTTATATAAAATACATCTACTCCCACTTATGACATGGTTAAGTTCCAAAGACCAAGTCATTATGGGAAAATCAGTATTATGTGAAAATGGAGGATGACCACATCAGATCACAAAATGGAGTCATTACAAAACTGCCAAACCACTGAGAATCCAGGCCCAGCCAAGTTGACACATAACTTTAACTATCACAGCCAGAATTACTCTCACCTTGCACCTTAGCATTCATTACTGCCAGATGCATGTTGTTAATGTGCAAAAGAGCCAGATAGCAGATTGTTTTCACTAGTGTTGTAAATCTGAAATGTTGGATAATAACACATAGAACAATGGAATAGAATTGAGAACCCAGAAATAGATCCATCGACCTCTGGTAAGCTGATCTTTGACAAAGGGCTGAAATCATTAAATGGGAAAGAGATTCTCTGTTTAACAAATGATGCTGGTAAAACTGGATATTCCATTTGCAGAAAAATGAAACAAGATCTATCAGTAAGTAAGAAATAGGTGTATCTAGGATAGGCAAGTATATAAAGGCAAAACTTTATTAGTGGTTCCCAGGGGCAAGTGGGAAGGAGGGAAAAAGAGCAATTTACTGCTTAAGGTGTACTGAGCTGTTAAGAGTGATGGAAAAATTTAGAAATTCATAAAGATAAGGTTGAGCAACAAGATAAACATAACTAATGTCACTGAATTTTGCATATGAAGAATGTTGAAAGGTAAATGTTACATATATATTTACTACAATTAAAAAAAAAAAAAAAGAATCGGTGGAGGGCTCAACCATCACATTGAAAATATACAATTGATGTATTGGAAGTCCTAGCCAGGGCAATAAGGCAAGAAAGGAAAATTAAAGGCATCCAATTTAGTAAGGAAGAAATAAAACTATCCCTGTTTGCTGATGATATGATCCTATACATAGAAAACCCGAGACTCAGTGAAAAGAACTATTGGAATTAATTGAGAGATTTAGTGTGGTGGCAGGATACAAGATCAACATACAAAAATCAGTTGGACTCCTCTACACAAGCAAAGATATTGCTGGAAAGAAAGAAATCAATACCATTTACAATTGTGTTGTTGTTGTTGTTGTTATGTGCCATCGAGTCAGACCCAACTCATAGTGACCCCTCTTTGGGTTTTCGAGGTGGTATCACTATGGAAGTAGAGTGTCCAACCTTCCTTCTAAGGAGTGGCTGGTGGTTTGAACCGCCAGCCTTCTGGTTAGCAGTCAAGTGCCTTAGGCACCATTTACAATAGCTACCAAAAAAATAAAGCACAGCTTCTGGTAAGATGCAGGAATAGGCAGACAAGCTCTACAGACACTTTTCAACAAAGAAAAGAGAAACCAATTGACAGAGATACAGAGGATAATCCTGGAGCCCTGAGCTTTGAAAGGAAGTATACAGAAGTGGATTAGACAACCAACTAGTGGAAAAACGTAAACGAAAACAGGACCTAAGAATAGGCTCCATTTGGCAAGGACAGCAGGGACATACAGGAGGCAGACAATGGGAAAGGAGACAGGTGGTGAGTGTATAAGTGTGCCAACTAGCAAATAGAGAAGCATAGCACAGTACGCTGCTGACGTAGATAACATAAAAAGAAAATGAAAATCGTGGACAAGTCACTCCAACATACAATCACCAGTTAAATATAAACACAAAAACATCACTATGCCTCAGACGTAACAGAGCATCACAGTCCACACAAAGAAGCAAGATAAAGCAGGAGAAACAAGAGACAAGGATACAGACTCAAAACACATCCCTGAGGAAGACACAGCATTGGAACTCCCTGATAAGGAATTCAAAAGAATTATATTTAGGTACCTTCACCAAATTGAGAGACAGATCAAAGAAAACACCAACAAAATTGAGGAAAACACAGAGAAAACCCTAGAACAATTTTGGAAGACAATACAAGAACAAAATGACAAAATAAATGAAAAATTAGAAACAATACAAAATCTACACACAGAAATCCAGAAGATTAATACTGAATTTTCAGAAATAGATAAGACATTGAATGAGCAAAGGAGTAGAATTGAATCAATGGAAGACAGATTTAGTGAGATTGAAGGCAAATACCTCAGTACTTCTTTGGAAAGGGATCAATCAAAAAAAAGATCAAAACAAAATGGAGAAAGCCTAAGGTTCATGTGGGATGCCATCAAAAGGAATAACCTATGTGTAATCGGAATTCCAGAACAGGAAGAGACAAATAAAACCACAGAGAAAATTGTCAAAGATTTGTTGGGAGAGAATTTTCCTGGTATGATGAAAGCTGAGAATACATCCATTCAAGAAGCCCAATGAACCCCAAACAGGATAGACCCCAAAAGAAAATCACCAAGACATATTATCATCAAGCTCACCAAAACCAAAGACAAAGAATCCTGAAAGCAGCATAGGAAAAATGAAAAGTTACCTACAAGGGACATCCAATAAGAATAAGCTCTGATTTCTCAGCAGAAACCATGCAGGCGAGAAGACAATGAGATGGTATATATAAAACCGTGAAAGAGAAAAATTGCCAACCAAGAATTATATATCTGGCAAAACTGTCTCTCAAATATGATGGTGAAATTAAGACATTTCTAGATAAGCAGAAATTAAGGGAACTTGTTAAAATCAGACCAACCTTACAAGAGATGCTAAAGGGAGTCCTTTGGACAGAGAGCTAACAACAACAAACAACAACTGTCCATTAACACACATGATGACATAACCCAGAAACCA